TTTTTCATTTGATTCACTTGAATTCATTCCTTCAATTTGTATAGATCTGATTTTGAGTATGTGCAATCAGTACATGATCATTCATCCTTATATTTTTTCGGATTTTCATTTGTTTGTATAATATTAATCATTGCCTTGTTATTGATAACTTCGCAAAGAAATATGAAGAAGACAATGAATAAATTTATAAATAATGGTAAATGCCTTGTTCTCCTTTCATCAATTGAAAAAAGCAAATAATTACAAGTGAAAATAAGATAATGAAGGTGATATGCTAATTGAGATTATAATAACAAAGTAAGCGAATGGAAGCTCAGAATCGTAATTCATATAGAAAAGCGTAAGGCGAAACATGTACATATAAACAATAAGAAATGCAATTTACAAATGAGAATAATATGATGAGGATAATTGAGTATGCACTAGTTGACTTTAAATTTACAGAATCGCATTGCACAGCATATATTTTCTGCTTTGAATTTCTCACTTACAAAAGCAAACGTTAAAATGCAGTTACAATTATATTATGAATGCATTTGTATGAAGAACAGATCATATTTTGAGCACAACGAGTAATACGTAGAAAGCAAAGGAAGATAGCTTTAAAGTTTCAGTACAAAGCAATAAGTGTATATATGTATATGTATATATGAAAGTCAACACATGAAAGCTGTCTTAAAATGAAAAGAAGATGATTACATATAGAATCCCGAATCATTTCACTGAACACCAATTGTCCAGAGCTTTCAAACTTTCGAATCTTTTTATGAATATTGAACAGATAAAATTTCAGTTGGAACGAAAGCTTGACAGATTTATTTGTATATTTTATAATGGCACATGTAGTTGCTCATCTCAGTCGTCGATCGTGATCACCTCTGGTTTCACAGAATTTTTCGGTATAGTTTTGCGTTTTGGTATGAGTATATTGTTAGGTTTACGTTTAGGTGGGAACGTACGATTGAGAGATTTGGGCACTCTCGTTTTCGTATCACATCTACTCGGACCGATTGAGGGCACTGAAGATGTCGCAGTTGCCCGCTGCTGTCGACGTAAAGCAGCTTCAAGCATCAAATTCCTCAGATTACTTTTGGTATCTTTTGGTGAACTGTTTTGTGATTTATCACATTGATTTTTACTGCTTTCCGCTTTTTGTCCTGTCCCTGAGAACGGGAAGAAATTTGTTATTTGAGACTGATTTTGAGTGGGTTTTGATGGAGATTCGGATTTGGAACGTTTCATCTTTGAATCAGTATTGTCAGTTTCAGCGGTTTCAATTTTTCGTTTGCTTCCTTCCAATGATTTCTTTTTACCATTCGCATAACCTTCCGGCTCTTTGACTTTCACGAATTTACCTGAAAGTTCTCACTGATCATAAAAATCAATGGTATGATCAGCCATCTTCGAAAAATATAAGTGAAAATGTCTCGCTATGGGTTTTCTAGAGGGAATGCTTGGATCGTTGAAAACATTTCAGAATTCAATAGATTCAAAAGATTCTGTATGAATTCCATGTTTTCCCGGAGAATGTGCTGGAAGGATAAGTTACGATTGTGCATGAGAAGTCTTCGATTGATGAGGACGAACCTCCACAACTGGCTTGATGTCGGCTCCACCAATAGTCAGACGGGCCTGGTGCCCGATTCATTGCACGTTTCACAAAACCGAAGAACGGTGGTCGTTTGCTGAAACAAAATCAGAACTGATCATTTTCATTGAATATGAATATGCAATTGAATTTGCAGTAAACTTCTTGAATTCATCAGTAATCAATGATATAGTGTGGATATTTAAAACGATTGAGTAATGTTTTGTTCGATTAATTCTAAATCAAAACGACTTCATTAATTTATCATTGATATTAACGGAATTTCAAAATGTTTTAGTTCTGTTTTGCTTCAATCAAATTCTTTGATTGGTATGGTTCTTGGGAAAGTGTTAGAAGTTTGATTTGTGTCCAGCGAAGAAGGATTTATTTACTCCAAAAAATGCTATTTACCGACACACTCCTTCGCATCTCCACCAGTGTTGATGATAGTTCCTTACTTCAGCGTGAAACGAATGATAAATGGTAATATGTGTACCAGCTCTAGCATTTATACGACGCATATGAAATTGAAACGATTCACCATGACCGTCACGATCTCTTAAATTCGATTATTCCTCTAAGAATTCGAACGCCATGTTTGAGTGAGTGTTCGAGAATAAGAACCATTGGTATATATCCACCAAGAGGTTTGTGAAATAATGTGATAGTTAGTTCGTAAATGAATAGCGGTGAGTTTCGTGAACAGCAACAAGGAGAATAACTATGAAACAATGAAGGTAATATTGACCTGTTCCTGACTGTAACGAACAGGTATGCATGAATCATTTCATGAAGCAACGTTTCAACTAGATCTTTTCTCGGCCTTAGACTCAGCAATGGTTTGCTAAGTCGAATTGAGCATAGGCCACCTCGACCCTCATACGAACACAAACCCGCACATCTGAAATTAACGTCGCTTTGAAACGGAATCGCTTCGACAAGTGAACATCATGCATTGTCAAATGGTATTCCGATAGAAAACTTTGAACTGTGGGTAGATAAACTTCAGAATCAATTTATCACCTCGTTCGATGTAGTTTAGGATGTATATCTTAAATCATGAATGAAAAAATCACAATTCATAATTGATTATCTTCACTAACAGTGTCATACGAGGGCTCCATCGAACCTCACATCCAGCTAGGGTACCTTGGAAGAAAGTGTCATTAAATTGCAGGAAAAGCGCATGAATATCCGGTGTCGGATCTATTAACTCCCATTGAGGATCCACCAAACATTCCAGTCGACGTGGAGAAGCACTCTGAACAATTCGCATCGAAGAAGTAATCAAAATGGAGAAGTGCAGACTTAAACGATGATATCAGTAGCTAAGCTTGCAAGGAAATTCATGAGATATGATCGAGTCTTTCGGCAAATAATTCCGGAGACTGAACCACTAAAAACGTAAAATTACCGTTGTTTTTGAGGTACTCGGTTGAGAAGATGAGTCAAATTCATTCTTTCTTTCGTTCTTCTTCTTACTTGTATCATTTCCATTTCGAACAACCCGCTTGATGGTGCCATTTCCCAACGAGATGGTACCACTCATGTGGGGAAATACACTTGTATTTGAGCAGGAAAAACCGATGTGATTAGTGAAAATCAGTGATGTCGACGAGGCATCGGCATAGAACTCTAAAAGAAATATCAAAAATTGTGATTTTAAGAAAATGAAAACCTAACGGTACATCCGGAAAATGTGGTCATCGGTTCATCCGATTTATTCATTGCCTAACAGAATGAACACACTACAACAACTAGTGCAGTATATCTTGATGAGCAGATATTGTTTGCATAATGCCGTAAGCAAAAAACGACCAATCGAATACGAAAGTTCATCTCAGCACATACGCAAACACTGCAGCATGGGTGGATTGAACGAATGTACAGTGATAACGAAGACATTCCCATAGTCTGAACACAACGATTTCCTCAAATTCCCACTTGGATCTACTTCGGGAAAATGA